GAAAGAGATATCAACTAAGGTTTAATGCTTTCCTAATAAAATGAGCTCTATTTTATTTTTCTTAATAAATATTCATGACAACTTTGTAAGGATGGATAAAATTAAGTCTAGTTCAAATTCACTTTCTATCCTATTTAGTTTATTTAAATTGGGAATTATATACAGTAAAGTACATAAACTAATTATAAAACTAACATTCTCAATTTCTTTTTCAGCACTCTTCATCTTCTAGCCCTCTTACCCTATACTCCAATGTGTGGGTGGGTCTGTATATTATTAGTTTTTCTGGATTAGGAATCTCCAAAGGCAGGGCCTATGCTTATCTACATGGCACTGAGAGCACATGCTGGAAATGACAACACATTAAATAATAAATAATCCCGCTGTATAGCAGCAAAAGCACAGACGGTTGACTGTGGTTAACTTATACAGGACAGACAAGATTGTGCTACAGCTGGAATCATGAACAAGTATGTTCTTCCCAGGAAGAAATTAACGGAGAATTGAAACTTTAAGGTGAGGAAATGACAAACAATAAATCCCAGATGAGAACGTTTACAGGGGCATCCTGATCAGTGGGTTAAAACCAATCACAATTTGAATCTCTTTCCCAAATTAAAAGATTTAGAAAATAAACATTTTCTTTAGATATTTCAAACAGTTTTTTGAATGAAAATATTTAGAAGTAGTTGGCTTTAGCTTTTAAAAAAAAAAAAAAATCATTTCCGGGGACTTCCCTGGTGGCGCAGTGGTTGAGAGTCCGCCTGCCGATGCAGGGGACACGGGTTCGTGCCCCGGTCCAGGAAGATCCCACATGACGCGGAGCCGCTGGGCCCGTGAGCCATGGCCGCTGGGCCTGCATGTCCGGAGCCTGTGCTCCGCAACAGGAGAGGCCACAACAATGAGAGGCCCGCGTACGGCCAAAAAAAAAAAAAAAAAAAAGCTCAGAGAAATCTATGACAAATTATACTTCTGAATAAGTAAGGAACTATCAATATATAAAATGACATTATACATATAGATAAAAGTTTAGCTTGAAAAAATATCTTTAACATAATTTTTGATGATTTTTAAAAAGATACTGGATAAACTGCAAATCCAGAGTCTTAAAAAGACAGCTATAAAGAAGTTTGCTTCTCTATTCTAGACAACGAAATTAACCTTCAAAATTCTTTATGTCATCACAAATAGCTTATGCACACAAGTCCAAACAAAGAATTCCACAAAGGTATTTTCACTTGGCCAACTGTTGGCCCACACTTCTTCAGTTCCTAACCTTTGGTGTCAGCTTATCTCCTTGCTCTTCACACCTCTTCTAATTGGTAAATATATCAAATGAATGAATATGTAAGTGATTTGTTTATTTTATGTATATTTTAAGCTTGAGTGGTGAATTAGTTACAAAACCCAGAGGAGAGTTCAGATTTCTTCAGCCCCAAACTTAGGAAAGGAATAAGCTTCCCATCTCAATCAGGATTCTTAGTTTTACTAAGCTACATAAGCATGACATTTCTGTGACAGAGTTACATGTTTTCATACTATTTCTAGTTTCTGGGTTTGTGTGTGTGTGTGTGGTTTTTGTAAATAAGGAAGCCGTGTTTAGTGGTCTGTAAACCTGCCAATAACAACTTCATGGCAAGGCCTTCACTCTACCAAAAATGACCAGAATGCTAAAAATAACATTTTCTTCCAAAATCTGGCAGAATTCCAACATACATTCAATTCCTCCTGCTGGACCAATTTCATCACAAGTTAAACCAAGCAAATTGTGCTGGTGTGGGCAGAATTAGCTCAAGAAAAATGAATGGACTAAAAAACTCTATAATAAAGACTGAGAATTTTATTCTATTATTTCTTTACTAATGTGCTTCCATCTAAAACCTGAATCCGTGTTCCCAATGAATAACATTTTTAGTAAAACTGTTAAGAACTTTGAGATAAAAACTAAGTTGTTTTTTGTTTTGCGATACACGGGCCTCTCACTGTTGTGGCCTCTCCCGTTGCGGAGCACAGGCTCCGGACGCGCAGGCTCAGCGGCCATGGCTCACGGGGCCAGCCGCTCCGCGGCATGGGGGATCTTCCCGGACCGGGGCACGAACCCGCGTCCCCTGCATCAGCAGGTGGACTCTCAACCACTGCACCACCAGGGAAGCCCAAAAAACTAAGTATTTTTTTCAATCAAGTCTTATGGATAAAACTTCAGTAGTAACCAAGTTTGTTGGTTATTTATTATTTCTATAGAACTCATTCAGCCTTTTCATTATCCCCTGAACGTACTCTTTTCAGTCCCATTCTGTGCTCCTTGTTATGTTCTCTCCTCTCCACATATTTAAATCTGTCCCTTATTTCAAGAATCAGCTGAAATTTACTCCTCCATAAACTCTAATTCTATTGCCCCTTGTTTGAGCCCGTAACAACAACTACCACCCATGACCCTCATACGACAGTAATTTAAAGATTAAGGCAGTAAAGTGAAGCAGATATGAGCACAGACTATAGAAGCAGACAGCTACAGGTTTAAATCCAGCTCCATCACTTACTAACTTTATGACCTTAGGCAAGTTAGTTAACCTCCTTGTGCCTTCCTTCTCTCATCTGTAAACAGGCATAATACAGTACCTATAACACTCAGGCCCAACACATAAACTGGAAATGGTTTGGAGTGCCGAAACAATTACTACAATAGCTGGAAGAAAGGGATTCCAAATAAAATAATAGAAACACAATTTAGATGGCCAGAATCACAGGCCACAGCTTTGTGATGAGATCTGAAAGCCTGGGATTAGGTTTATTACCATGTCAGTTTTGGACAATGTCTGTGAAATAGAATTAGTGTCCTGACATTCAGGAATTTAAGCTGTGGGTAAGGTAGAGAAGAACAGCGTATCCTTCATATGCTGGGCTCCATACATTACCAACATGGGTGCCTACAAATACAACGATGAAAACAAAAGGGTGTAGGATATGGTTTCAGAGAGAAAAAAAAGAGCATTTGTTGATTATATGCCCTTGGTACTAATCATCCTAACGGTAGTGGGGTGAACTGCAAATATTTCAGCAAGAGAAGAGACGATCACCCTAGTGCCAGGATGAAGTGCTATCACCTGATATAGCAAGACAAAAATACACTATCATATTAACATTCCTCCCCAGATTAACCAAAGGGAAGGAAGCTGAAGTAAAGCATACCAAGTGCCAGGGAACATATGCATCTTTTCGGTTTGGAGCTCAGAATCTGAGGCCCTATCCCAGTGTTTAACCTCAAATGAAATGATCCAAATTAAATGAATAGTATGAGCAACAGTAATAAATATAAAGGACTATGAACATGCGTTAAATTGTGTCAGGATAACTCATTAGCTTGTAAGTAAACTCTCAGAGCCTTCACAGTTCTTGACATTCATACGGAACCAGATAGGAGTTAATGCAGAAACAATGCAATTTTCTAGGAGACTGGCAATATGAAAAAAGAAGAAAAGACATGTCAATCGATAAAAGCAGTGGGAAGGGCCTATAGCCAAAGACAAGAGATGAAGTGCTGACTTTTTAATGAGGTGGAATCTTAGACACGAGAGCGGCACAAAGGAGTCTGTGACATGACTGATGGTAAGGCACTAGTGTGTATGTTAATGGGAGTGAAACAAGATGAAGAGGACACAAAACGCTAATCACAGACAAGTCTGAATGAAATGCCAAAAGGCTCATTTGGTTGCCTATGAGTAAATGTGGAATAAACTCGCCATCATTTGAGTAGCGTGTTTCCTTTCAGTGTCCTATAATTCTTAGGAAAACTCTACAGAAAAATAGAGAAGAGTAAAATATATATTAGCAGGGAGACATTTGCTTTTTGTTTGGCTTCTGAAGAGCAATGAAATACAGTGACTTGAACCCTGAAGAAGAATAAGAAACTAAAGTCTGGAGCCAAACTGTTTAAAAATAGAAATATAGGGGGCTTCCCTTGGCGCAGTGTGGTTGAGAGTCCGCCTGCCGACGCAGGGGACACGGGGTCGTGCCCCGGTCCAGGAAGATCCCACATGCCATGGAGTGGCTAAGGCCCCTTGGCATGGTCCCCGAGCACCT